TGTCACCTGAAACAGTAATATAAAACGAATACAGAGAATGATGATTGCATATGTTAAATTTCAGCTCAATGTGACTAAAGTCACATTCTAAGTGACCGAAAGTTGAAGCTCCAAAAAGCAATGTCATAGGAGTTATTTACAGAAGATGTTAAAGGCACCAATCTAACAGCACACTTGAGTACAGGCTTGCTTTAAGCATGTGAGTGCAGCTGATGTGCCCAAAGATAAATATGTGCTTAGGAATTTCGCAGTACCCAAGGCCAAGTAGGTTCCTCTGGTAGGGGATATGCTGAGCAGGTTTAGAGGAGGAAAATCCTTTTTTATTGCATGTTCCTTCTCTACTGTCCCACATGCCAAGCGTGCTAGGGAGAAGGAGGGACAAGAGAACAACTAAATATTTCCTCATCTTGTGTAGCAAAACTAATTTCTCAATGGAAATAACTTCTTTTTGATTGCTGATATTGGGTTTCTCAGATTAGTGAACTACTTTTGTTATTCTATTTCTTCAAATTGATTTGAGGTATAGTTGGGTTTATTTTTCAAGACAAAATGTTTGCCTTTTCCCTGCCTGCCACATCCGGAGTGGGGCTTTCCAGATTTCTTCTTAGGGAGAGTTTGATCCCCTTGGATCTAATCTTGCACTTACCAGCTCTAGTCAGAAAATGAATTTAAAAAAGCTGTTTGTGTCACTGACCCTTCTTCCTGCTGCTCATAGGCTTGGGCTCAGTGACCTGCTTAGGTACGTGACTTGGGATCTCAGCAGTGACTCAAAAGGACCAACTTGTGCCATCGTAGGTTTCTGTGTGGGCAGACAGAGTAGTCCTGATGAGTGGGGGGATTTGGATGAGTGGAACATCCAAACAGCCAGGAGAACCTGGCTTCTCACAGTGCTTTGTTTGGGAATGACTTGCAGCCAATAACCCAGAGTGAGAGCCCCGTGCTGCGGCCTGGCTTGGTCAAAACTCTTCCTGAAACAGATGGAGATGCTGCTTGTGAGTTCAGGTGTCCCTGAACAGCTTGATGACTGTGTGGGAAGGTGGGCTTGGAAGCTCTGTGGGATCCAGCTTTAGGAGAGCAATCTGTTCACAACGTGTGGCTCATCTTTCTGGCCCTGGGCTTGTCTTTGCTGTTAGGGTCAAGGAAAATCTCAAGTCTGTATGTAAACCAATTATGCACTCTTTGCCTTAAGTGATAAAAACCACCTTTGAGAATTTTAAGACTAGTGAAAAGAGGGGAGCATTTCTCAGCAAAATCCTTTGTAACACAAAGCAATATTCAAACTAAGGCTCAATATTCAAAGTTGAATGGCTCATCCCTTTCTAAGTGATGCCAACGCACAGGTGGGACTCATCTCCATGCATTTTTGGGGGGAAGATAAAGCCCAAGAAGATTAAAAGATTCCAAGAAACTGTTAGCAAAGATATTTATTTATGTTCTCTTTATCTTACACACTTAGGACCCTTTTTGTAGATAATTTTAAGTGCCATTTTTTGTTCCTGGTCCCCTATCAGTGTACAGGTACAGACAGGTGGGTCAGGGTGGCAGGTGTGCCCCATGAAATCCTCAGGGGAGCTGTAGCTTTACCTTGGGTACCTACACATATGCCATTCAGTGTGGAGCTTCAGAACAGCTAGAAGTACCAAATTCATACCCTAGATGTCAGTAAAAGAAAAAAACATTAAACCCCATTAAAAATCGTTTCATAAAAGTCTGTGAATCAAGCAGTCGGTTAGCCAATTATTTGTAAGATAATTCCCTATATGGACTGACAGTTGGAGTCCCAAGTTTCAGCTCAATCAAATTCACACAGCCCAAGTTATAACCTCTTCAAGATGGGGACTGTAACAGGAGCACTGACAGACCGTAACTACTGTGCCTCTTTAGTAGTGAAAGCTCAACTACCTCACTCGTGCAGTGGCTGCCATAATTAAGACTGTATGGATTTGCATTATAGGTCAAGTTCTGGGAGGTTTTAAATGCACATAGTTTAACTCACGTTGGCTTGAAACTTAGGGCAGAAACAGGAGCATGCTATAGGTTTACTTATAAAAAGATATATAAATACCAAACCTACAAAATGACAAATAGCTAAGTCCTAGGGCAGTGCAAACTAAAACCAGGTTGGCTGAAATCAAACATTGGATTAAAAATGAGGTTTTATGGGCATTTAGTAGTGCCTTCCTCTGCCTGCCCACACACAAGCAAAGCTCTCTTTGTGCTTCAAGGGAGGGTTTTTGCCATATCAAAGTCTATTACCCGAGAGCTTTGTGCCATTTGTTTTACAGTCATCCCCAGAAAGCCCAGTCAAGGTTCAGGGCCTCCACCATGCCAGGTGCTGTGCAAGCAGAGGCAGGCTGAAATCCCAGACCTTGCTGAAACCCAGGGAAAAAAAAGTCTCTCCAAGTTCAAGGTTTTTATTCCAGGTCCTGCCTAGGGCAAGCCGATAACAAAATCATCCTGTCACCTGGCGCTCAGATGTCTGTGATCCTGCACGGACTCGCTGCTGTGTGCGCCGTGCTTGCTAGTAAGAGCTTGCAAAATCAAGAGTTTATTCTGAGCCTTTATTAAAAAGAGAAGGGAAAAAGAAAAAAAAAAAAGGGGGGGAGAAAAAAAGAAGGAAAAGCAGCGCGCCCAAGCTCCTCATGCGGGAATACTAATGCACGTACTATTTCTAGAACGTGCAAGTCCTCTGCTCATTCACGGGAGTCAGCCTGGTGTGATAAGAGTTCCACCCACGTTGCCTCTGCCTGATTGAGACTATCAAGACGGTGTCGGGAAGCACCCCGTGCGATCTGCCGTTACATAATGCAGCCCAGCTCCCGAGAACTGGCACAGTTCTGGAATTTGTGTTTGGTCCTAATGTTCTGTACCGAGCTGGCAAGTGAGATTCCTGCTCTGAGTGAATGACAGTTGGAGCTTCGAAGCAGGAACATTTGCCCACCGAAGTTGCTGAACTCACCCACTGCCAAGTCTGTCACTGAAGCAGCAGATAGGCAGGGACAGCAGTACGTGGCATGGACTGTGTCACGCTCCTCTGCGCCTTCAGGTCCCAGTCCTGTGAGGGAGGACCGTGTGCCTGCCTGTGAGGTGGAGGAAGGCCACACTTCTCAGTTTTAGGGAGTTTTATGTTCCTTTCTGTGGCAACCTTTTAAATATCTCACGTGCCTGAGCAGAAGGAGGATCACACTGTTTCTCAGGCAGAGAGCTGAGGCATGAGGAAAGGGACAGATAGATTTTGGCAGATTTAAATCTTAGGCTAGTTTTCAGAACATCAGTGTTCTCACCTGGACACTCTGTCCTGCTGCTGCAGGTCACTGCCACTGCCCTGGGACAGGGATGGGTGCCCACCTCTGCTCTCAGCTGCTCCAGGGCATGAGCTGGTGTCTTGGGGCTCTGGTTACATGGGACAGATTGAGGCAGGACAGGCACTCAGCTCATGAGGCAGATCTTTCCCTGGGGTTGGTTTCCCCTTGTAGGCAGCCTGAAAACCACCACAGCCCTGATTTCAGCGTGTACCTCAGTTTGCCCTCACGCTGCGGAGGTGTGGGGCCATGTTTCCTCCAGCTGACTTTGCTCTGGGGCTGGGAGTCCATAGCCAAAGAGCAGCTGATAACATGGCCAGGGGTGACAGCAGCTCCAACTGCTGCAGTAGGACTGCAGGGCATCCTCTGTGGCTTGGGCAAAGAACGGTTGGGGAGGTGCAGGAGGTGACACAAGTTTGCGTCAATCCTCAGAACGTGATCACCGGGTCATCTTCTGTGCTGGCCTGGGTTTGTTTTCACCTGCTTTTCCAATCTGCCAGCGTTCCTGGGTGTTAGCAGTCAGCATTTGGGCATTTCTCACCGTGTTTACCTGCCACATGTGCTGGGTTCCTCAGTGTAACCCCAAAGCAACCCCAGTGTGTAAGAGGTGCAGACAGGGCTAGAGATGCTCGGGGTGTCGCAGAGGGGATGATGATGCAGGGGATGCGGGTTCTGGGGTGCAGTGGGGCAGTGGTGGGGTGCACCGCCCTTGCTCCACAGCTCTCCTGGGGTGCTCCCACCCCCAGCTGGCCCTGCCTTTGCCGCTGGGGCCAGCTCGGAGTCAGCTCACCCCCCTGCCCCCGGATGCATCGGAGACGGTCCCCGCGGGGCTGGCCCTGCCATCACCAGCCTCTCCGGCAGCGCTGGGGGGCATCCGAGCCCCCCTTGTCCGAGCTCAGGGCACTGGCGGGGGGGTCCCGTGTCTCTGGGGGAAGGGCGGGTCAGCCCGGTCCTGCGGTCGGAGGCGGCCCTGAACCCTCCCCATGGCGAAGGCAGCGCCCGGCGCTGGGGCTGAGCTGTAGCAAACTCCCTCGCAAGAGCTGTTTGTTGACCACATTCACGTTCAGAGCCCTGAAGCTAAAAGCACTTTACACCATAAAATAAAAGCACTGTCTTTTTTTCTAAAAGGTTACGTCTGGAGGCCACGCTGCTCATACTTCATACAGAAAACTACTGAAAGGGCTATGAAATCCTCTATGATTTACACTCCCTCTCAGTGCATTAGGATATAGATCTACTCGACTCTAAAAATACTGTGGAGTTTCTAACCGACGTGAATATATGTGCATTATTTCAGAAAGTCTGTTAGAAAACTTGTCAACACATTATAAAGCATAAACCAGGACTTGGCCATTAAATATAGAGATCAGAGACAGAATGTATACGGCAGGAAGTACCGAGAAAAGTCCCTCCATTCAAAAAAAAAGTCTATTAGCTAAAAGTTTACACACAATATACACCAAAAGGTTTAGAGAGAGCCCGTGGACCTCAATTACAAGGCATAAATGGAATCAGTAAGGGCTTTACAGTCCCCAGCACAGTTAACTGGGCTGCCAGAAAATAATTTTAATATTGTCATAATTTATTACCCACCGAAAGCCACATCAAGGATTGTAAATATAGTCACTTTGTGTCCACGACTGCTCGTTAAACAGCCTCGTTCCCTTCCCCTAAAAATACAATGAAATAAAAACCCACCTGCATTATTAATCTGCGGTCATGCCGTGTTAAAAATGTCTTCTCACTCCTTTTCTTTCTTGAGGTTTGTTATCTCCCTCCAATCACATGACAATGCGAAGCGCTGGGAGGGGGGGGAGACAGGAACGAGGGGGAGCCCAGCACTTATTGCGATCAAATGCTAATATTAATAATTATCCAGCCAGGATGAAATATTATTTTTAAGGCAGCGAGTTTCCATTTAATTCGAGGCATTTTTACGGTGCTGGAATTAAGGGCATGCTGATGGTAGGAACATCCTCGCTGCCATTCATGAAAGCATCTGTAAAATTAGCTTCTGACTGTAGGTTTTGAGATGCGGTCTGGGAAGTCACCTCTGGAATCTCAAACACGGCACGATAATGAAACAGATTTAGTTGTCACCAAGTGCTTAATTTGCTATGATTTTTTAAAAGAAAATCAATGAAACGATGCCTGTGACTGGGAATAAGCACAGGTAGGTGTTCTGATGCAGGTTGGCTTTAGAGAGCGTAATGAATTGTAATTCAGAGGAGTGTTAACTGCGAACCGCAGAACCTTTCAGGGGTAATAAAGTCATTACTTTTTACATTGCAGCCGCCTTCAAAAGCTTTATACGTGCCATTAGATATAAATCAACCCCCACATATATCTACATCTCCGCTACAAGCACGCACGCCCGTTTCTGTGGGTTTCGCGCAGGGACATGTGCACAGCCAGCCCTGCGAGCGGCGTGAGCCCCGGAGCCGCCGCTGTTGTCACCTGCGGCCGGGTCCCCCCGCCACGTCCCGCATCTGCGGCCGCACCGCGCCCCGGCACCGCGGGGCGCATCCCCGCGCCGCTCTATAAAGGAGGGGAGCGGGGGGCTGAGCGGCGGCGGGCGGAGCCGGGGGGTGTTTGGGGGGCCGGCTGGCGGGAAGCTGAAACCATCGCACGGCGGAGCGGCCCGGCCCCTGACAGCTCCGCCGGTGCGCCTCGGGCTCGCCTCGCCAACAGGTCCCCGCCGAGCCCCGGCCCCCGCCCGCCCCTCGCTCCCCGGGGCGGCCGCGGCTCTGCCCGGCGAAGTGTCTCTTACGGCGGCGGGCAGCTCCTCGCTCCCCGGGGGCTCCCGCCCGGCGCTCCGCTCCGGCTCTCCGCCGCCGTCCCGGGCACGGTTATCCCCTCGCACTCCCTTCGCCGCCTCACTTTGCTCCGCACGCCCGATCGCCTCCGCAGCGTAATTCTACCGCAACCTGATCCCTCGCGGTGCCGGCAGCGCTCGCCTCGCTCCGGGTCCTTTCGGCGAAGTTGCAGCCGCCGCCGCCGCCGCCGCATCCTCCCAACTCCAGCCACTTCTCGGTGCCTCCCGCCGCCTCGGCTCCCCCCCTCTCCCGCCCTCCCCCGGTGCCAGCCCGCTGCCCGCGCCGCCCCGCCGCCGGCAGACCCGCGTTTCGCTTTCGCTCGGAGCCTGTGGCTGCGGGCAGGGCTCGGAGCGCCGCCGGGGCAGGGAGGGGGGCTCCGGGCTGGCGGGCGAGAGCAGCCCGCGGGGAAAGCCGCGAGGTCCCGCCGCCCTCCGCTCCCCCCCGCCCCGCTCCTGCGGCTTCTCCTGCCGTGCCTGCCGCTTTCTCGCCCGCCAAACTCCGCTCGCTGCTCCCCCGCCCGCCCCGGGGCAAGGCCCGCCGCTCCCCGCCGAAGTTTCCCGCGGCCCGGGCCGAGCCCCCGCCATCCCCAGCTCCCCGCGGAGCCGCCGCCGCCGTCCCCCGGGGACGGGCCGCAGCTCCCGGGAGGAGGGGACTCCGCGGCTTCGAGGGGGATGCGGGGGGGGGGGGCGAGCGGGGAAGCCGGGAGCCGGATGCCCCCCCCTGCTTTTTGGGTGGTCTCCGGTCCTACCTGGCTTCCCCCAGCTCCCCCAGCTCCTCGGCACAGCCCGCGGCCAGCGTGCCCCGCAGCCCTCTCTGCCCGGCTCTGGCTTCACCGATGTGTTTGCTTTTCCGGCGGGGGTGTGCGTGCGAGAGCTGCCACTGCCTGCCTGCCTGCTCGCTTTCTCCCGCTCCTTTTCCTCCCTTCTCTCTCCCCGTGTGCGTGTTTAATTTCCCCCCCTCGCCCCTCTCCCGGCTCCCCTCCTGCACCCGCTCCTCCGCGGCCACTCGCGGCTCCGGCCGCCGCCCCCTCCGCCCCCGGCCCCCCGGCTCCATTCGGCAGCGTGCGCCGGGCGGCCGGTGCACCCCCCCCCGCCGCGCCCCCTCCCCTCTCCCCCCTGCGATCACTGTCCATTGGCTTGTCCTGCTCTCTTTTTCATGTCCAGCCCCTGATGAGTGTCCATTGGTGTTGCCTTCGCCTTCCCTCCTCCCCTCTCCCCGGCTTGCCCTGCCCATGTTTTGTATGTCTCTGTCCATCCAGGCTCCTGACGTTCAAGTTCGCAGGGACGTCACGTCCGCACTTGAACTTGCAGCTCAGGGGGGCTTTTGCCATTTTTTTCATCTCTCTCTCTCCTTCTCTCTCTCCCTCTCTCTCTCTCCCTCTCCCTCTCTCTCTTTTTTTTCCTTGCACAAAAAAAAAAAAAAAAAGCCATGACTGCTATCCCACAATTCATCTTCCCTGCGCCATCTTTGTATTATTTCTAATTTATTTTGGATGTCAAAAGACATTGATGAAGATATTTTCTCTGGAGTCTCCTTCCTCTCTAACCCGTCTCTCCCGATGTGAACCGAGCGACTCACAAGCCACCGAAGCCACCAACCCACCATGTCGCGCCGCAAGCAAGGCAAACCCCAGCACTTAAGCAAACGGGAATTTTCACGTAAGTAACCCGGAGAGCAATTTATTTAATTTCCCCTTCACGGATTTAATTTTTAATTTGAGCGAGAGCAGGGAAAAAAAAATTTAAAAGTGAGAGCGAGTGAGCGAGTCGGGGAAAAAAAAAAAATTAACTCAGCGCCGGCTCGGGATTCGCAGCATTCCGGGTAATTTCTCCCTCTCTAATTTAATCACCTTGATGACTTTTCTTCTCTTTCTGCCCGTGCCCCTCGCCCGCCGGCGCGCACTCCGCTGCCCCGCTCCGCGCTCGCCTCCCGCTCTCCGCGCTCTTTGGCGGCAAGAGCGGCAGCTCTCGCCCCGGCACCGGGAGAGGCGCGGGCGAGGTGCGGGGCTGCCGGGGGCAGAACCGGCCGAAAGTGGGAAGAAATTCCTGCGGGAGCGGCGGGCTGCGCGCCGGACACCCCCGGTGGCCGTGCGGGCGGGGAGCTGCGAGGGGAGCGGAGCGCGGAGCGAGTCCGGCGGCCGGAGCCCCCCGGGCTGCCGGCGGGCTCGCCCCCTCGCCCCGCGGCGCCCTCCCGGGGGGGGCCGAGCCGAGCCGAGCCGGGCCGCCTCCCTTTTGTTTCCGCCGCGGGGTGCGGGGTGGCCGTCCCGCCGCCCCCCGCTCCCCGCCGCCCCGGGCCGGCGCCGTGCGGGGCTCCCGCCGCCCCGACCTCGCCCCGCGCCCGCCCCGCCGCCGCTCCGGCTGGGGCTGGGGCGGGGGGCGGCACCGGGCGGCGAGGGAGAGCCGAGCCGAGCCGCGCCGCGCCGGCTGGGATTCCCTCCTCGCCCTCGCCTCGCGTTCTCCCGCTCGTTTACTATTTTTTGGAAGATTTTCAAAAAAAAAAAAAAAGTGGAAGTGGATTTTGATTGGGAAAAATCTCGTGTCTGAATGTTTACAAGCACCGCGTGTGCGGGGAGCCTCCTGCCAACAAACACAGGCGAGAGCGAGCCCGGGCTGAGCACACACACACGCGCGCACACACACACGCACACACACACTCGCACCCTCACACCCGCGAACGGCCCTTTCTCGCCGCCGCATTTCAACCCCAAACCAAATCCGCTCTCCCCGGGAGAGAAAAAACAAACCCCGAGCCCCACCACCCCGTTCGCAACAAAAACTCTCCGGCTCCCTCCGTCCCTCCCTCCAGCCGCCACCACACACACCAGGGCTAGATGCAAGATAAGCGGGAGCGCTCTTTGCACAACAAAAGGCAACTCGAGCTGGAAAGGTTTGGGGCGAGGGGGGTGGGAAGGAAGGGAGAGAGAAAAAAAATCCCCTTTTCCTCGGGGTGAGCCGGGGGGAAGGGGAAATGCTGCATGCTTCTCCTCGCTCCTTTTCCCCTTCTTCTTTTATTTTTCTTTATTTCTTCCTTTCCTTTCCCCCATTGCTCCCCGCGGGTTTTGTTCCCTCCCAGGGATGGCAGAAAACCCAGGGCCGTTTCTTCCTGCCAACCATCCCTGGCTCCCTCAGCCTTTCGCAAAACCCCCCAAACTTTCCGCCGCGATTTCTCTCCCCCAAACATTCCGGCCGCCCAAACATTCCAGCCAGGTTCGCACATGGAGCGAAGCAGCGCTGGCTCTTTGCAGGCGGGCAGGGCCGACCGGAGGCTCTGCCTGCCCCAAGTTTGCCCTAAAACCCGGGGGGGGTCTCGGCCCCTCGCCTCCTCCCCCCACCCCCGCTCGTTTTTCCCCTCTTTCCCCGCTACTTTTCGGGGCGCTTTTTTATTTTGACCGCCTGGCTGGGCTCGGGGTGCAGCATCACTGGGTTACGGGGGTGCGCCCCCCCACTCGAAATGGGGTACGGGGGGTGCTTTCCCCGGTCGGCCCTGGGAGTGCGGGGAACGGGGGGGGATCGCGGCGGGATCGGGGACCGGAGGAGGGGGTGAGGGGGTTCCCACTCGCCCCCCGGGGCAGCGGCGACGGGCGGGATCCCCGCGGCTGCTCCTCGCCGAGGCACCCGCGGGCCAGCGCGGAGTTCCCGCACGTGCGGGGCGGTAGCGGCGGCCGGGACGGGCCCGGGGGGGGCCCTGCGGCGAGAGCCGCCCCCGGGATGGGGAAGGGGGTGGGGTGGGTGGGCCGGCAGACAGAGAGGGGGGGAAGGGGAGGCCGGGCCGGGGGAGCGGCGAGCCGGGGGGATGCGGCGGCGGGGCCGGGGCCGGGGCGGCGGAGGCGGCGGGCGGGCTCCGTGCCCGATTCGGTCGCTAGGAGGCACAGCGAGATCAAACAACCGGGCAGCCCCGCGAACTTGAACCTGGCCGGCTCCGCCGCTGCCTCCCGGCCGGCGGGAGGGGGAGGGCGCCCAGCTCCCTCCCCTCCACCCCCCCACGCCCCCCCTCCTTCTCCTTCTTTGTTCTTAATTTTGCGCGGAGTTTGCTTGCTCCGGGAGGCAGCGGGGGATGCTCGCCTTCCCCCTCCCCGGGTTTCCCCTCCCTCCCCCGTAACGTGTTGGCGGTTCCCATTGTACCCCCAAGTCTTTTCCTTGCACCGCACGATCCCAGGACACAAACTTGGGATTAAACAACCCCTCTCCATCCTTCCCACGCTACGGTGCGGGGAAATGCCCCGACAGCGCATCCGCGTTGCCCCGCGGGCATTTCCCCGCACCGTACCGTGGCATCCCCCCCTCCCCGCCCCATCACCCCCAGTACCTCCTTTCTCCCGACACTCCAAAAGCCATCCCGCTTTTGCCGGTGCGGTTGTTTTGGTGACTGGGAACAGGGGGAAGAAGGGGGGAGTAGGAGGGCGAAGGGGGAAAGCTGAAAAGACATGTTGGTGGAAGGGCAATTTGCATGAAAAATAGAGACGGATGATTAGGGACCCAGGCAGGGAATTTTGATTGCCCCAGAATTAAAAGACAGATCCTGCATATCGGAGGCAAGACCAGGTGAATTGTATTCCGGTGTTTTCTTTGTAATCCCGGTATTTTATATTTTGTTTTAAAAGTAGCAGTCATAATAAAAAGCATATTTTTTGTCGGCTCTGCCTCCACCAGGAGCCAAATGTTTTGCAGCGAACACGGTGCCAGCCGTATTTCATACATTAGTATATAATTCTTGTTAATTAGCAATAATTTACGTTAAGAGCATAGAAAATGTTGAGGTTACAGATTTTATATCTGTACATTTGATCATCTTGTTATTTTCAAGAACTTTGCCTCCTATAAAATTAATTAGGTGAAATGTGGAGGTGTAATCAGCAACCTCTGAATTACCACTTCATTTCCTGGTTTTGATTGTAAATCAGCCCAGTCCGTACAGACTTTTAGCAAAGTCTATTTTTGCTCAGCGCTACTTTTAACTGTCTGGTGTTGAAGCAGCGGGTTACCTTCCCCTGCTAAATAATAGTGACAGCGTCAGAAAGGAATCAGGCCGCGGGAAAACATTATAATTGAGTAATGATTATGCAGAGCTCCTCGCTAAGCCAGTTCTGAGGGGAATACGGGTGGTTTTGTGTCTTCTGCTGCGGAGGGTCGCTGAGCTCGAACTTAGATTCGCAAAATACCTTTGTCTGCGGCGTGCAGCGAGCTACTGGTGGAATTAGTCCTGCAATAATTTACTCCCTCTCGGTCCGAACGCAGGGAGCGGCTGGGGAGGAAAAACAGCCATGCCCCGGCAATCCCGCAGAAACACCCTGCTCCTCTCCCGGCTTCCCGAGGAGTGTGAGACGCACGCACGTTGCTGCCTCTTGCTCTTGTCGGTCTGTAAGTTTAGGAGAAAACCCCAGCGATTAAGACATTGTTTTTATTAATGCGAATGTAACCTTCATACTCCTGTGGTTGACCTTACGTTAAATTAGAAGTAGTACTAGAGGCAAGAAATGATGGACTGGATCCCTGTGTCCTAGTTGGAGCTGAGGTACGGCGAGGTAGTGTGCTCTTTCAATATTATTTTACGCAGCACAACTGGGAGCTACTCCAGATCTTCCTCCTCAATATTCAGCCTAGGTAGGGTTGAAATAAATTTAACCTGAGTTCACTGGATTTTTGCACTTTATCAAAATCAGTTCCAATATTGTGCAGTCAAATTAAAATCTATTTTTTGATTCTCTGTGGCTTTAAGTTCATTAAATGTGAAATTGGCAGCCAGCTAAAGAAGGTCAGGCTGATTAACTGTTTAGGAGTTGTATTCTGTCTCTCTTGCATTACCTGGCAGTGTTTTGAGGTGGGCTGTATTTGTAGTACCCTCTCCCCCTGCTCACTGCTGTTAGCGTGCGTGTTGTATTGCGCAGGCAGAGGAACACCAACACGCTGCTGGTATTTATTTTTTTTTA